CAACTTGCAACAACTACGCAGCAGTCAGTAGTCAGCTGCCACATTTCATTGCTGAATTGGCCAAATATTTTATTCAGTCTTCTTTTGCATTTGTGCATTTGTCATTGCAGGCCGGCCACTGCCACTGCCACTGCCACTAACAACCCAGCCAAACCAAACCCGCTTGCAGCTGCTTCCTTATCTTTTGAGGTTTGTTTCTAATGCCACATTGTTGTTGCACCTGCAAACGTTGGCACTATCTGCAGCAAAGTATCTACATTGCTTATCCACAGTTTGCATCGCGGCTCGTATGTTGCAGGAGTTGAATTTATGGCACTGTTTTCTTGCGCCACTGACAGCCGTTTTGCCATTGAGCCACTGCCATTGGCAAAGCGACTCCCGAGTTTCCCACATTTTCACCCCAACCTCAGCGGCGGACGACTTTCGCAAGCGGAGATCAATTAATTTTTTCCATAGCAGCAGGCGTAGAGGAGGCAGAAAGAGGAGTGAGTGGAAGAGAAGGAAAACATCAATGGTATTGCAGAAAATGTTGGCAGCGCAAGAAAATGAGGAAATCATAAAAAAATCCAACAAAATGTTGGAAAGTAAGGCCAGCTGCTTCGCTGGCTGGCTGGCTGGCGGTCCGTCTGTCTGCATTGCAATTGCTTACCGCGCATGCAGCAACAACAATAACAGCACTAAGCTGTTGAACGTACTCTGGGCATTTCTGCTAAATAAATTTCTTTGTGGTAATTTTTTTATTTATTTTTTTCCTTTTGATTCGCCAACGATTTGCGAGCGTTAACAATGAATTGCTAACATTTCACCTTGAATTATGCGAGCGGCGAACATTTTTCCATGCATTAATTTCTGCACGACTGCATGCAACAACAACAACCATACCATAGCGCCAGTAAGCGGTGCAACACTCGATTGCCTTGCTGCATATTTTTGTGATTTCTTGCACTCTTTCGCCCCTAACAATTTTTCCTCTAATTTGTTTCTTCAGACTCCCCTGCCGGTCGCTGCCCCTTCGTGGAACCTTCATTGCCGCAGCTTTGCATTGTTTCTGTTTTGTTGCTGGCCTGCGATTGCTTTGCCACTCAAACACTTGTTGCTATCAATTTTTTGTTATTACTCGATTGTTGGTATTGAGGCTAATGTGGTTATTGTTGTTGTTGTTGTTGTTGTAGCTGCAAATGGTATTTAATTAAATCGGTGTTAATTAAAAATGTTTTATGTGTACGCGATTTTTGTGAAGATTACGCTAATGAATAACCAACAGGCTGACTGACTAGCTGTCGGTGGTGGTGGTGGTGGTGGTGGTGGTGGTGGTGGTGGCTACAACAGCGGTGAGGAGAGCCAGCATTTATAGCTGTCTATGTAGTTAGAGCGGGAATTATGCTTTATTGCGACCTCGAAGCTTATAGCGGCAATCAAATTAGAAATCAGTGCAAATATTTGTTGAATTTTATTTACTGTTATTAAAAATAGATTGTCAGCTGATTAGGTGTGGGTGTAAATTGTTGTCGCAGTAAAGGTATTGGAAAATAAATATCTTAGCCAAGGCGAATTCATATAAGCTGGTATCGATTCAACAAATACAAAAATTGCTAATATTTTGTGTTTGCTTTTAGCGGCCCGTTGTCAAATTTCAACTATTCTTCCCCGAAGGAAAAAGCGCGCCTAGCGAAATACAAAATTTTGACAATCACACGCCATTCACAGCCAATGAAACAAGACCACCACGTTATATGCAGTCGCCTTGATCTTGGCTTTAAATGCCTCTAACTGGCAATAGAAAACTTAAATTTTCTTCACAAAATTTTTGAAACAAATTTCATTTTATTTGAAAATCAGCAAAAATTCTTTAATTTAATTTTTTAAATTTAATTTAAACAAAAGCTGTGAACGGAAATAAAAATTTACATTAAATTTCCAGAAAAATTAAACTCAACAAAATGTTCTAAAACAGAGCCGAAATATGCAATGTGATAAATCAAGTTTGGTGGACTTAAAAAGGAATTGGTCAAGACAATAAATAACCATTTTTATAAGTAAACAATTTAAATACGGAAAAATTAACCTTGATCAAAAAAATAATATTAAATTTTTTTCAGGGTATTCAAATATTTTACTTAAAAACTGGTATCTAATTAAAGTTCGTAAAAAATGAAATTTTGCATTGGAAAATCAAAATAGAACCTATAAAGTACTTCAAATTAAATTAGGCAAAAATATTTTTGATTGTCTGTAGCCAATTATTTTAGTTAAAAAAATAAGTAAATTTAAAAAACACGTGTTGTTAGTGTTGGGAGAAAAGAATTATGGCCAATTTTACGAAAGTTTTTAATGGAGAAATTAATTTCGATTTTTTATTTTTATTTAATCTTTCACCTAACTTTTTCCTACTGACTGAAAGAATTTTGTTGTTAAACTAGTTAATAAAAAATTAAGAACATAGAAAGAAAGTTCACGTAAATCATTTTCGTGAAACTGACTGCCATTAAAAAAAATATATATATTAAACTTTGAAGGTTTAAAAAATGTCATTAAATTTGCCTTTTTGTACAATCTTTTATTTAAAATAGTTAGAAATCAATTTCTTCATGAAAAAAAAAGATAAACAAAAATTTCAAACTTCCCCCAATTTTGGAAAAAGTGAAATTACATCTAAATCTTTGCTCGCTCTACATACTGTCCGTTGAAATCATGAATGAAAAAAACCTCGCTTCAGTGCTGAAAGGGCAAATTTTTTAGTGCTGAGATATTTAAAAAAAAGTGTAATTTTTAAATAAATGAAAATATTAAAATATTTGCGTTAAAAAGAGTAGTTTTTCTGGAAAAAGTTAAAATACGACTTCCAATTAAATTCATGTTGTTGATCCAAAAAGGTTTTTAGATTAATTTGCTTCAAAAAATAAAAAAAAATTTCAGTCCCCCGAATTTGGAAAAAGGAAATTATAGTCTAAATTTTTTTTAAGGAATGATTGAAAAAAACCTTTATTGCATTGTTGAAATGGTACATTTTATAGTGTTGAGATATTTAAAAAAATTTGAAGTTTTTAATAAATGAAAGATTTGGATAAAAGAGTAATTTTTCTCTAAAAAGTAAAAATATGACTTCTAGTTACTTTTTTTACGCAAAGAGTTTTCAGATACATTTTTAAATAAAGATTTTTTTTTTTAAATATTTCTCAAGTAGCTTTTAAATTTATGTGCTATTTAAGCACAAATTCTGTTCTCAAAAAACGTGTTTGAGGGGGCAGATAAACTTTAAAAGCCACATAAGAAAATGGCTCTAAGAAGTTTACATGAAAAGCAAAGTAAATTTTCTGATGTTGAAAAAATGAAAAAATTATTATTTTTGATGTATTTTTCCAATAAGCTTATAAGATAAAATGAGTTAAAAAATGTGTTAGCAAAAAAATAATTCATGAATTAAAATATTAAAAAAAAAGTTAGAATTTTTTTAAATATGCAATTGCAAAATATAATTTATTAAGCTAAAGTCTGACATTCAGATACAATTCTGATATAAATTTTTTTTCTGCATTACTTTAGAAAACATATATGTACATATGCACAAAAAATAGCGCCTAACGAGTTTATAGTTAAGTTTCTAATCGATTTTGTTGTGTGCGTCTTGAAACTGTTACATAAATTTTGGGCTCTACAGTTTTACGTCACCTCAGAACAGCAAATGGATTGTGTAAGAAGATTTTTTATGGCAGAAATACACTCAGAGGTTTGCCGTTGCCTGGTGCCATCAAGGAGCGAACCCAGGTCCTATGGAGTGGTAGTATGCACCTCTAACCACTTTTCCCAAGCGGCTGTCCTAAAACTAAAATTAATAAAATGATTAAATTTTTTTTATTTGAAATTTTTTCATTTAGGATTTTTGCTAACATTCTAATTCCCACCCAAAATTTAAAAACTTCTTGAAATAAATCCGAGTGCTCTCAGTGGTGCAAGTGGACCACTTTACCGCATAGCAGCCAAACCGCCTTTTAGCAGCAAGAAATTTTCGCGCCTTAAAACTCAACATGCCGCATTCCTTTGCTACATGAACCGCATCGCCTGCAATCGCCAAGTGGAATTTAATTGTGTCAGTGGCAGGTGAGCGGCTCATTTCCTGACAAACGGCAACTAGAAACTGCAACTCTTCGAGCCAAGCCGGCCGCAAGCAGTAAAGTTGTCCAAGGCTGTCTGTGCTGTGACCGCGGCAGTGGCAGCTGCAGCTGCCAATTTACATCTGTGGCATGAAACCGATCAAACGCGAAACTGCCGGGCCGGCGGCGTATTCGCCAAACCACCGCCATCAATGGGCGGACGTTGCGCTCAATTCGCCAGCCGCCCAGGTCGCCGCAATTAAGTCGGGTCTGGTGTGGGGTGTGTGGTGACTGCCTGCCAGCGCGGCTTGTCTGGCTGTCTGGCACAATTTCCTGTGCGCTGGACACGAATCTAATGCAACGGTGCGCTATTAAGTGAGCGCATTCGATGTCGCATGTGCGGCATGTTACATTCAGCTGCATTTGCGCCTATCTTTGTTGGGGAAGAGGAAGGGTGTCAGGTGTAGGAAATCCAATTTCGGTGCGCTTTAAATTGTGGCAATGCGGCAAAAGTAGGCAAATGGGGCGACAATGATTGTGAGACGGTTAGTGAATGTGTCAGCGTGGTTGCAACATGCCACGTGTGTCCTCGTTGTGTGTTACTATCGAGAAAGTTGTGCTTGTCAAATGCAGGCCATTGATTGCAACACCGGACGTTGGCTCCGGCTGGGGACACGATTTGCCGACGGGTTTTTCTTTTTTTTGTAGAGATTTTCTAGAGAAATTTACGTATGCACAGAAATTGAATTCTTTTGAATGGATTGTGTGGAAAATCAAATCCAATATAGTTCAAACTAAATTAAATTGTTTAATATACATTATAGTTAATCAAGTCCTCAAGCTTTTTATCTACATATATTCCCCTTGTGTTCTTCGATCGTAACCTTTAGTTTTTCTCTTAATTTTCAGCCTGGGACATTGGCAATTCGGTGCAGGAGGCCTTCGTTATTGCTGTCGAGGAGCATGCGCGTGAGCGACTGAAACGTTTGGCGGCGTTGAATCGGGTAACGCCGGTGGACATAACGGAGGTATCGAAAACGGTGAGTAAGCAAAAGTTAATGTATGTGCGTAGCAAATATCTGAGGCTCACTATAATTGGTTTAAAGTGCGCCTAAAAGTATGCAACAGTAGTTGCTTGAGTGATTTGTGCCCTTTGCAAATTCTCAACCGGCGTATGAAAGAATTTGTTGTTATGCTGCGAAGTTTTCAGCGACGAACTCGTTTTTGGGACTTCTGCCACAGAGTATCGGAAGCGAAAGTTTCAATTCTTTTTTCATACAGAAGAAGTGGTTGACAAAATTCATAGGCGCAGTTGCTGCGGCATCAGGAAGAGTGAGGCAAAAGTCCACATAAAACGAAAGAAAAACTTCCTAACTTTGGAGAACTCAAATATTTTAATTAAAACATAAATTTGACAAGCTGCTGAAGTTATGAAGAAAGTTCATACACTCACATGTTTGCCAAAGGACATGCCATGCCTTCCTTCTTGAACTTTTATGTTTCCATTACAAACACACGCGTGAGCTTGCTTGCCGAGCTATTAAGCGGGCAGTCACCAGCATGCCCATACACAACAACAAGCGGTGCTTCAACACCGGTTTGGCAGTTCACTTTAGCTGAAGGGAGTCCAATTTTTATTGATACGCTATGGTGTATCCTTTGGCTGAGCTGAGTCATGGGTACTATTTTTGCTCAGACTTCTACCACAATCCCCTCATATCGCCGCTGCCACGTATGCTTTTGATTGTTTGGACCCCCTGACTTGCACCTCTGCTGCGAACCGTTGCCTCGCTCGTGCTCGTGTCCGTGTGAAACGTGTAAACGCCACGTGACCGAGTACTTCAGAGTCAACAGCAGGCAACAACAATAAGTGCTAGGAAAATTATAACAATAAAGGGAGAAAAAACTCACAGCAAATAGTAAATTGCTAGAGCAACGCTTCCCTCCTTGGATTGACGCTGCTAAAAGCGCAACCACCAACAACTTACCACGAACTTAAACTTTATAAAAAATTCACAAAACGCGCACGCCAAACTCATAGCGCCAAGCAGAGGAAAGTTGTGAGTGTCGTGGCGCGGCGCTGCGCTGTCTGTCGGTCTTCAGGATATGAGGCAGTGGGAGACAACCGCTTCAAGCGCCACTCACAAATCGCAACACTGAGAATGCGCGCTGCCGGTGCAGGAAGGAAGGAGTGGCGACGACGAATGGAGTGGCGGAAAAAACTTTATTATTATGCTTCTAGTATCTGTTAGATACAATTTTTAGTAACTGTGTACATTTAAGAGCAAGCGTAACAACAGCAACAACAATAAGTTGTTTTAAATGTATAACAAAAACAACTATTAAAGTGGTGTAGAAACCACAGCAGCCACGCGGAAGGTCAAAGAACGAATTATGCGGAATTTAGTTGGGTGGAAAAAATTTATTATCGCATCATTTTGAAGTAGCGGATAATGGCAAAAAAAAAATAAGCAAGAAAATAATGTTCAAAATTTAGGGACAAACATTTCTTTTTTAGTAAAATGAAAAACAAAAATATAATAGGCAACGTCCGATTCGCTGCGCTGCGCTGGGGCTCCCAAAAGAGATAGCGGTTATGATCTTTGTAGTAAAAATCACAATTTTACACTTAAAATGGGATTTCTATTTTTTTGAATCAAATATAATTGCTATGTTATGAATTAACTTTTTTGGATCAATTTTTAATTGTTACTTTAATTTAATTTTTTAGGTCATAAAAGATTTAAATCAGTCATAAAAACGCAGTCTCTATTATAACGGTTAAAAATTATTGAAAAAATTAAAATCCAAAATAATGATTACTTTTACTCCAAAAAAAGAACAAAGATCACGAAATAACGATTAAATATGACCGAAAAAAACTAAAAATCAACTAATATCGATTTCGCAACGATCTAAATATTTCGGTCCCTGGCATTTTTGCATCCTGCAACAGGACTTAAAAGCGATTAGCGAAATTTCTAAATTAATAACAGCCACTATTTTTGTCGACAGTCAGGCACCATGCTGGCGTCACTGAGCCGTATCAACGTCACTCCATGCTGGGTTCCCGGACATAGAAATATTGAAGCGGACGAGCCGGCTGATGAGATGGCCAGATGCGGCTCAGAGATGCCAATGGAAGAAGAGAATAGCTCCCTACTACCACCGTTTAGTGATCACGTTAGGAAAATTAATGAGTACACCTTGGCCGTGACGAATGAATTGTGGAAAAAGGCAGGGGACACACTGAGACTGAATAGTTCTGCAGTATGAGGCCTTACAGGTGTCATCACAAGACACCGCTATAGCACCAATGCTTCAACGGTAGCGAATACCAACAAATACTCTCTGCAGAGGCTGGCAATATGAGAATGACGAAGACTGAATTCACCACTTTCGGTGTCGATGTCCAGGTCTGTAGACGAAGTGATTCAATCACTTGTGTTCACGTTTCTTCAACAGTCTGGGTGAGATAGCGGAGGTCCTCGGTTTCAACAGGGATCAGTAATTGGTTCAGTAGAATAGTGACTTAAAGCTACTCTTTCGTTGATTGGTACGTGTCTCCTCCTGACACTCACTAAATGTGGGCATTCAGAATGGACAATTCTATCCCCTATTAAAAGTTTGGAATATTCCACACGTCCTCTTAACCTAACCTAACTTTGCCTTCAAATAATTTAATGGTATAAACCTGGATATTTCTAAAAGTAGAAAAATCAAGCAATCAAAGCTGATGCATACTTTTGGGTTCTGTAATTTATTTAAAGACTTTTTGGGACCTTTGACCTTGCAAATTTCTGAAGCCCATCGTTGACTATTACGAACATATGAGATGTGACGATCTACGTGCTAATCGTGCGGACAGATCTGACTTAAGTCAATTCACCGGTTTTCTCACTGCAATAAGTCACTGGCTTCGCTTGGGTACCGGATGATTCTACATTCTGAGAGGACGTTGTTTTGAGAATGAAAAAACTTTCGGACACACTTTCAACTAATACTCTCCCCTTCTAGTAGCCTTTGTATCCTCTGGCCTCATTTCCTTGTTTTTTTTTTCCTTCATTGGGAGTTGCTATTGACAGTCTATCTACGAGTATGTACCAGCTTAGTTGACCTTGCATGGTTTTCAAATTTCACGCAACTCTAGACTGAGGTAACAGTAAATAAATTACATGACTTTTGACTCTATGTAGTACTAAATTGACGGAGCAAATCAATTTGAAATTCTAAACAATTCGCTACAACTGACGCGGGAACAACAGCCGCTCGAGACAATGCGGAAAACAAAAATAAACAAAAGGAAAAAAACGTGCATAAACAAGAAAAAGCAAAAACAATAAATTTAGTTTTTTCACAAGCTTAGCAGAGTTAGTCAGCCAGTCCGCCAATGGAGCAGCAATTAAACAATGAACACTTGCGGTAACAGTTGGCGGACGCTGAGAATGGAATATGAGTCAGACAATAGCTGGGTAGGCAGGCGGCAAGCAGTTAGCTCTTGACCAAAAGCCGCGCTGCTAATGGCTGGATAGCTAACTACCTAATTGACCGAGTGGCTAGCGTTGTTTGGGGGCGATGGGTGGTTGACTGGTGGGTTGGTTGCTGGCTGTGTGGTGGGCCATTGCTGCTTGCAAAACATGTTGCCAATCGACTATTGCTGTTGTTGTTGTTGTTGCGCTGCTGGCATGCTTGTCTGTTTTATTGATGTGGCATAGATGGCATGTATTGAAATATGCTACAAGGTGCGAGCAACAGACATTTAAGCACAAAAAACTGCATGGAGCTTACGATGCCTCTGTTGCGACTAATAGTGAAAGTGATACGTACAAACAAAAGTGCGTGCTGGCCCTGTAGGAAATGGAAATGTGTTGAAAGAATGGTGTTTTAGGAATTTGTAAATGAGAAGTTTCCATGCTGTTTCTTCGAAATTACAAAGAGAGAGAAAATTTAACACAGTTAAATGAACGGAGCAAGATGGGATATGGCACGGTTCTAGGAACCTGTAAAGTTGATTTGGTCCAACTAGTCATGCCAAAAAAGAACACGTTCAGACTAACCTCTAGAAATCCGGAATATCGACTTATTTTGATTTTAAAATGTGACTATAGGCCTCCTGTCCATTGTTGCCAGTTTAGCCATTTTGATGGTAGATCTGGCCTTTTATTTCGGATGTAGTTTCTAAGCGTTTTTCTAGCTTTTGCTGATTTTTGATGTAATTATTTAAAAAAAAATTGTGAAACACGCAATGTGTAACTAATACAGTTAACTCCTTTGTAACAAACCATTTGCAATGTGAAATATAGCACAACACAAATAAATTTTTTATCTGGAGGGAAGTGCATAAAATCTTCAGCAAAAAAATTATTAAGAATCAAAAAAAAAATCGCAATTTTTTAGCAATTTTAATAGACTATAGAACTGCATACTAAAAATTAATTAACAAATTGTAATTAAATTGTTTGGCATTGGGATAAAAAGCTTGTGGGATTTTACAATTTTTGTACAAAGTTTGAAATTTGGATTTATATGGCTTTTGTTAGATAAAGCTTAGACTTTAATAAAAAACTGACGTACCTAAAAAAAGCAAAGGAAGAGTAGTCAAAGGTAGTCAAAATGTTGGTGTGCTATCTTTTGTTGCGGGCTGTACTGAGTATCGTAAGGATATTCGTCAAAAAAGGACATGTCTTCGATAAAAGTTATTCAAGATTAGCTAGGAAAGAGTGAAGGATTATGATTCATATTGTCAACCAAAATATTCTTGATTAAAGTAGGTAGGTAGGTGTATTTAAGGGTAATATCCATCAGTCACCCCACTTCGTCATGCTGAGCACCACAAAATAGGCTTGTGTATAGTTTTGTAACTTTTTTATGTATAATTTAAAAATTTTTGCCCAAGTTCTTCCATTTTTTTTTATTTTTTGTTAATTTTAAATTTGTTTTAATTTTTTTTACAATATTAAATAATTTTTTAAACATCATTTTTTTAAACAAATTATTTCCAAATTCTTGCTAATGTGGTTTTTGTAATTTTTTCGTACATTAATTTTCTTATAATTTCCTTTCTTTGTTCTTAAAAATATAAATTTTTTTAGTTTATTCATTAAGTATTTTCATTTTTATTACTACATATTTATTTTTTTAAATTTTCCAAAACTATTCAAATAAAAATAAATTTTCCTACATAATTTTTATATTTTTCGGAAATTTAATATTTTATCTATGTATATTCTGTTTCTTCCCCCTTTTTTTGTATTTCTTTTTTTTTTTTAATTCATATCCACATTTTCTGCATAGTCGATTGTTTGCTTACGATTTATGCAAAAAGTTCTAAGTTTCTGTCCGATATAAGCTAGTAATTCTTTCATTCACCCAATTTTTCCTACAGGGCATTAACAAAGCACTTTTATGTATACATATGTTACCATGGTTACTACATACATACTCACATACACCACCTCCATGCCGTTATGGATGTGAGTAGCTTTTGTTTTACTACACTTTTTCATCCTGCATGCAGAGTTGCAATAAGCGCATGCAACAAAAGCGAAAACAAAAAACAAAACGGTGAGCGCTGCCTGTGTCTGCATTTGACAGCTGTCAAAATGTTATTTAAGCAATGCTATGAAAGCCAATTTTCCTCCTCGCCAATTTTTTTTTTTTGCTACACTTTTCTTTAACAACAACAGAGTTTATCCGGCTGCTGACATTTGTTTGTGTTGTTGATGCTGTTGGTCCTTGTTTTTGCTTTTGTTGTTATGCATACATATGTCACTGCTCTTAATTATGAAAATCGCATTCGCTTGTCATAACAAATTTTCCATGCATGTCAACACCGTAGCTGACAATATTCCACAACAAACAGAAAAATAAAAAACGAACAACAAAAAACAGCCAGCATAAAAAGTCGAAAGCGATATGCAGAGTAAAAATGCGAGAAATTTACATACATACATATATATGTACATAAATACCTACAAATGTCAAAAAGCATACAACTTTTGTAAGCTGCTTAAAGTGTTCACCTTTCACGGCTGGCTCTGTGGCTGCTTTGCCCAATTGTTTATACATGTTTAATGTTCAATACTATAACCTATACCATGAAATGTCACGCTATGTACATACATACATACATAGTCCTGTCATGCCAAACTAGGCGTGTGGTTGTCGTAAATTGCTGTCAATAATTATTCTGTATACCAACAATAACAGCTTAATTGTTTGGACAAATTTAATTATCAACTTACTACTACTACAAAGACATAAAAAATACTCAAAAAGTGCATATACATTTACACAAATATTTATGTACATACCTTTGTATGTTTGTATAATTCTCAGTGGATTAAGATTTATTATTCACAAAATTATTAAATGCCTTTCGAAACTCTTACCCTTTCCGTTGGTTTTTTTTTATGTCTTTGTTGCTTCGAAATCTTTGTCATTGACAGCGTGTTGCCGTTGATTAAGTGCCATAGGCGTACGGCTGAATGGGTGTGACATGCGTTGGCTTTTGTTAAGGAATCCTAACTTTTGTTGCGCCAAACCCACATTTTTCTGGAGCTTCGCAGGCAGTTCAAACAACGCCAGCTCAAGCCTTCTTACTCTATGCAATACACGTCCTCTGAAAATGGGTTCAAATATTTTTGAACTGCGTGTGTGTTTGTTTAAAATTACGGCTGTATATTTGCGCTCCCACAGCGTCTCATTTATGTCTCATTTATCGCTTTTTCCTTCGACTCGCTTGCATTTTTTATTACTGCCCGCCCTGGCTAGACAAGCGGGCGTGGCGTGTATTTTGCATAAATTGCTTGATTTTCAATAAGAAAATTACTGCATTCGTGGCAGTGCTCTGTGACAGTTTATACACGCACTTATTGCGATGCCAGGAAAAAGTGAGAGAATTGCGCCGCTGAAGCGATATAAACAATTTTGCGAGTTGGTGTTGATTATTATGTCTCGAATGCTGTCAAAGTGGTGCATATCTAATTCCTGCTCTTAAATAAAATGATTGTTGTGGTAGTAGGATCATCGATATACAAAACGTAGGGGTTTAAAAATGATTGACCAACGCAGAATTAATAAGCCATTCAAATGTCAGAGAATCAAAAAAAGAAGAGCGAGAGAGAAAAAAGATGTTCATTCACCTTTTCGATCGATAGCCAAAAACTTATAAAAAATAAATTTTTTCACAAAAATTCTGCTCTTTAGCAATCAAAATTAATCATTGAATCATTTAGAAGTAACAAAATGTGTTGATTTGCTCGCGAGTAAATAAGTTATCCTATCTAGACGGAGCTCTGAAAATTTACTTGTATTGACAACTGGTTAGTAAGTTATAACGCAGTCCAATCAACACGAAAAAACACTATATATTATGAACGAGGATGTCTCTCTGACCAACAATGCCGAAGAAGATGAAGTATTAGACCCTCCCTGGCCTAAGTTTTGTTTCACGGAGATTTGGAGTTTTTACATTTTGGCCAAAAGTGGTTAAACTATCGAAAATATTGTATATTAAGCGACTTAAATTATAATTTCTGACCTAAGACTTCTTCAGTAGGTAGCGAAATTTTCCAGTAGTGAAATTTTGCGGCGAATAATTTTTTACAAAATTTTAATCCTCCAGCGACCTCGCAAACTTTCATTTATTTACGCTCTCCGAAGTGGCGGTCCAAACAACCCTTTCGTGGGAGAGGTAATGGGTTAATATGTTCCACAAAAATATACCCTCGTGAAATTTTACTACATGTAACCAAACTATATATTTCGCTGCGATATGAATTTTAACTCCATATTTCTTTTTTTTTCTGTGCACTATCAAACGGTTTTTCTGAGTGTATAGATTACGTCGTCATCGCTTTACGTTAATTTTAGATCCTCATATGCAAATTTTGAATGGCAGATAATTTTGCGGCAAATTTAAACGTCTGCACACAAAATTAAGGCGCGTCTCAAATATAGCAAAAGTTCTGTGATTTATTTTGTGGCTTCCAGTCTATGAGAATTGCTAAGGCTTCCCTTCCCTTTTTTAGAATAAATTCCCATCAGATATTTGCAAATTTTAATTCTCTTCTCTTCTGTCTCCCCTTCCTCCTCATTTCAGCTGCAGCAGACGAAGAGCGGCTCACAGTCGACACAGAAACAGGATCTGAGCTTCCTCAACGAGGCCTCGCCCATTTACGTCACCTCGTTCACCAGCACTCAGATTACGTGCAGCAGCTCAACAGTCACCACCGCCACCGCAGCAACTGCCGGCCTCATTACCTCGTCGACGTTTGCGCCAACCGTCGCGGCAACGGCGACAGGCATCACCACAACAGCAGCTGTTGTGCACGCGTCGGCGGTGCAGAGCTCGGTGGGTGTAGCTGATCGCAGCTCTCATCAGACGACAGCAGCGATTGTGGGCGCAAGCACAGCGGCGGCAGTGGCCGCGGCCACAGCAACGAAACTAGCCAATCACAGCAGCAGCAGCATTTACCAGCAACAACAATTGCCGCAGCACCCACAACAGCAGACGGCAGTGACTGCCGCGCCGAAATCAGCGATCGCAGGTAAAGCCCAACACCAACAACCACCACCGCCATTAACGCTGCAACTGCAGCAACAACAGGCCGCACAGGTAGCGCAGCTGGCGCAACTGCAACAGTTGCAAACGCCAACGATAGCGAGCAGCCTGCAGCACTTGGCTGTCGCTGAGGAGGAGGACGACGACGACGATTTGATCGGCGTTGGCGCCAATTATTGTAGCATTAACTTTATAAAATACAACAACAAACACGCACAATTGCCACCCACCACGTCGGCGGTGGTGCTGCCTGCGGTAGCAACTAGCCAGCTATTGCAGCAGCAACAGCAACAACAAGCGAAGTCGCACCCATACATCCCGCCCCCGCTGCAGATCCCCAGCACAATACTCGTCGATGCACAAACCTCCACCTCACCGCTGGCTGCGACCGCTGTGGGTGAACTGAAACGCACGCTGACAGCCGCCGCAAACGCAACAACAACAACAACAAAAACAGCCGGCGTGACAGCGGCTACAACGACGACAGCCCGTGGCTCCACGACACCAACAACCGAGTACTCGACAGCCATATCCAGCAACCACCTGCAGCAGGCATTCGCCTCAGCGGCTGTCGAGGACCAACAACAACAACAACAACGACAGCAGCAGCAACAGCCGCAATTTTTTAATAATAACAATTTAGGCGCAACAGCTGCCTTGAGCAACAACAATAACAAAGCGGCTGGCGTGATTGTTGACCAGCCCACTGCTGGCATCAGTGGTGGTAGTGGTATTAGTGGTGGTGGAGTGGGCGTGCCAGTGGCTGCCGTCAGCAGCGGGGCGTATGGTAGTAATATTAGTAGTAATTGTGATTTATTAATATCGAATAATATACATCCACCGAGACGAGAGGTGAGTGAGTGAGGAATGAAGAGGAATGAGGAATGTTGTTGTTGTTGTTGTTGTAACCTTTCACTGCTTTTGCGTTAAGTTTGGTTTGTTGTAGTTTTAAGTGAATTAGTTTAATTGCGAAAATTTTCGTTTGGCACATTTGTTTCGATGTTGGCTTAAGTTTGGAGTTTTTGAGTGCGCGAAATTTAGGTCACTCGCGCGCTATGTTTATTTTAAGTGATTGTATGCAGAAGTAGGCATGGTTTTACTTACGATATTATTAAAAATCCGTTATATTGTTAGTAAATATGCTTACTAGCATGCATAATTTTCTTTTAGCTACATATGTACATGAACATATAACATTTTTGCGATACTAATTTCTGGTTTGTTGTGTTTTTACGATATTGCACAAAACCTTTTTATCGTAATTTTTTTAAAACTTTCTGCAAAAAGTCCGTTTTTATTTACGATATTAGACAAAGATTTACGATATTGAATGAAAAATGTTTTTAATAATATCTCTGTATGTCTGAGTAGAAAAACGTTATTTAAACTTGCGGTATGATATACAAAATTTACGATATTACAGAAAATCGTTTATTTTTTCTTAAAATAATATTTATTTTCAAAAATTCCATGGGACTAAATTACGTTTAATAATAACGTAATATCCAATGCGACATTTTTGTTTCTTGATCGAGCACTTATGAAACTTTATAAAAACTAAAGTTGTTCAGTTACGAAATGCTTCTTGTTGTGTAATCCGCCGGTTATCGTACAAAGCAGAACTTCGAATGGAAATGAGTTAGGGGCCTTTCTATATTAGGCTAATACATACTACAGTATTTTCGTAACTGCAGTATAAAATCGCCTTTTTTTTAAATACATTCACTTTATAAAAGCTTTCAAAGGTATTCAGTTTGCAGTCAAAGGAATTTTAAATACTCGCTCAGAACAAGCAATTGCGAGTACCTTTTAATGGCTGTCTCATACACATTCCTCTGCTGTATTGGAATTTTCAATTGAAATAAATAAATAATCTCATAGCAATGCGATTAACATTGACATGCTATCATTCGAAATATCGATTACCCTGCCCTGCCGCAGCCAAAAAATTTGTGAAAAGTTAAAGCGAATGCTTGTGACGCTGAATACCAACACCATTTTTGAGTCAATCACTTAATGATTAATTAGCTGTGAATTCTGCCAATTTGTATGGAAGTGGGTAAGAAGCGAAAGGGTTTTATGCTATGCGCTTGACATCTGTGAATTTTGTAATAAAGAGAATTAAACTCATTTTGGAGGGGTGCTAAGTTCAAGTCATCACTTTCGACGACAAATAACTGTCCACAAGTGGCTTTTAAAACTACAATAAATGTAAAGTAGAGGTCAAACACTTTGCTGAAAGGGGTCAAATTGAGTTTGTCAGCACTCAGCGGCAGATTTGAGTACTTACGCTAATTTAAGTTATCACATGAATTCGAAATCTCGATTACTACCGCTTGCCAAAGGCATGCGATATAACTTTTTAGTTATACAAGTTTGTTTTATTTATTTCTTTTAATCAATGTGAAAAATTAATTTTTATAAATGTTCACATATACATACATGTACTTATATAAAATTGCATGTGTGTCGCTGTACTCATTAAAGTGTTCACTGGCACTCATTTGCTTAGTTTTCAAATTACTTAATTAATGCCATTAAGCGTTTTTCTCGTTTATTATTGAATATTAAATTCTATTGAAATTTTTTAATTCCCTTTTTATGCTTGCAAATGGACATTCCTCTCTAATTATTCCAACAAGTTTCACGCTTTCATGTCTATCTCTTCCACTTTTCATTGCAGTTACTAACTACACTTAATGACGATGGCCGACACTTTGATACGGATGCGGCAAATAGCAACAACAATAATATCAATACACAAAGCGGCGGCGTCGTCGGCAGTAGTAGCAACGATTTGCTAAATAATACAACAAATTTATACGATAAACAAATACAACAATTAAAAAGTAGTAGTCCAAATAGTAGCATATCAAAAGGAAGAACTGAACTGTTATTAGGAGACCAAAGTTTAAGGCAGGAAATTCGGTGAGTACAAAAA